AAATAAATAAATAAATAAATACAGTGACACAGGTGTTCACACAACCAAAAACAGGTGACTAATATTTGCAGAGAGATTTAAAATAAACAACCTCCTGGTGGGTCATCAAAAAGAAATAATTCCTTGAAGAAAAGTCCTAGTTTCTCCCATACCTCCAATAAGAACATGTACTTGGGAAAATTTGAACCTATTTATATCATGCTAATCCCGGAATAACTGAAGGAGTGTATTGCAATGTAGTTGCACCCTTAGATGCTGAGGGATACATGCTTAAATGTTTGGGTTTGAATCCCTGTATATTCAACAATGTTTGTGTTGAGTTATGGCTGCAACCTCTGTTTCTCAGAGGCATCTCATCTTTAACATCCCTACACCAGACTAAGTAAAACATGGCATCTCAATGGTGTTAATAGCCATGCCTGCTGAAATTAGTCTGAGTAGAGCCATTGGAGATAATTTTTGAACAATCTACCAAAATTTGCAAATCTCTTCATACTCAAGATATAAAGAACACGAGTGTTAAAAAAAATCAGATGTCTGGTGAGAAGGGAAGTAAACGTGACAGGCTTCCCCATTCCTAGATGGCATTCAAAGGGTTCTGCTGACCATTGTGTATAAAAACTACAAAATTTGATAAGTTTTATCTCTGCCTATGCTACAATATGTGGATTTTTGAGTTAAGGAAAGCCATCAAAATTGCTTTAAGTATTTTATCACTCTTATTTCTCTGAAACATACATGGCAGCTACTGTCTACTGTATATCAAATTTGCTGTGTAGACAGGCAAATGTTAAATGTGGATAGGTGAAAGTAAAAGAGTCCAGTGAAATCAGTGAGAAAAATTAGATATGGTTATGTTTTTCTTTTTTTTGGCACAGAGTATTGTTAATGAAAGTACACTAATGTTACATTCAGATTATTCTGCTTAACTAGATTGGATTGCCTAATCTATTATTTAAAACAATAAATTCTTTTTCTTTCAATGCATAATGATTAGAGTGGATGTTTATGTTCATGATCCGAGTCTACATATTAATTCCACATACCGTACACTTGAATTTAGGTTGTATCACATTTTCACCGATTTTATAAATTATAACCAGACAAGTGTTAGTTTATATTCATGTACCATAGCTGAAAGAATGTGGGCTAAATCAAGTTTTATTGCTAATCCTTATATTTAACACTTTTTGGAATAGGGAAAATCTGAAGGAACAAATTGAAGAACAATGTTTGTTGCAGTGGGGCGGACATGTTTCCAGTCTTATACTCAATTTCCTAGAATTAAGTCCCACTGAGTAAGCTGCAGGTATAGGATCCCACTATAAAACACTGTTACAGGACAGTGATTTTTCTTTGTTTATGGGAAATCCCTGATTGAGGTATAGGATCCCACTATAAAACACTGTTGTGATTTTTCTTTGTTTATTGGAAATCCCTGATTATGTAGAACTGTAAATGATGGGAAGGTGAAAAGGTGCCATAAAACTAACATTGCTTCTGTTCTTTTCATGTTTTCCATTCAGATTATGAACAAGACGACTGAGAATGCCAACATAGTCCTACAGATTGATAATGCCAGGCTTGCTGCTGATGATTTCCGCCTCAAGTAAGCTAGATGCCAACAGTTTTGCTTTTAAAATGCTTCCACAGTGTAGCTCTTTGTTCTCCCGGAATTCAAAACCACTTCAAGAAATGTTATGTCATTTCGTTGTAACAACAAAGATAGTGTGAAATACAAATACAATTTTTTTAAAAGTTCACAGAAGGAACCTTTCGTTTCCCCACCACTCTCCTTTCATCCATCTGTAGGCTTCAAGTACCGCTTCTCTGGAGGATTAGCTACTTTCATAAATAACATGAGATTAGCTCAGGAGGGAAGAATCATCCAAAACTGAGATTTGCATTGTAATTTAACTTAAAGAAGTTCATGAAATGAACATTCCCCAAGTCCTTCCCACATTAGTAACTTCCTGTATCCCCATTCCATATTGTTTAGGACAGTGCTTTCCAGTTTTGGATCCCCAGATGTACTTGGACTAAACTTCCCAAAAGCCTTCACCACTAGCTGTGCTGGCCAGGAGTTTTGAGAGTTGTAATCCAAGAATATTTGAAGACCCAAGGTTGGGAACCACTGGTTTAGAAGAACCTCCAATTCAACAGAGAGGTTTTTCATGGTCAGGGGGGCACTGACAGGTGGATACAGCCCATGGGCCATTTTTTTCTTTTACGAATATCCTAATGTGATGTAAATGTACAACTGCTGACCATATACAATATGCACATGAAGACATGGTCTACAGTCCACATAAGCTTATGCCAAATAAAATGTGTTGGTCTTTAGGGTGCTACAAGACTCTGCTCTTTACTTATGGTAAGAGCCAAGCCAACACTTTTAGTTTGCAAAGTGCTTTCCGATTTTGATTTGGACTTTTCTCCTCCTGTCTTAACAAACAGCTAAGGTGAGCCATTGTCACCTATATTTCATACTTCCATTGATTTCCTTTCAGGTTTGAAAATGAGCTCTTCCTTCGCCAGAGTGTTGAGTCAGACATAAATGGTCTGCGCAGAGTCCTTGATGATCTGACCATGAACCGCTCTGACCTGGAGGCACAGCTTGAAAGCCTCACCGAGGAACTGGCATATCTTAAGAGGAATCACGAAGAGGTAAAGAACTTCAGTTCTCCTCCCCATCTTTTACAATATTTCATTTTCTGTCCTAATCAAAAGCCATGGAGCGTCCATGTAGAACCTCCAACCTTAAATATAGTTAGTATGATTGCTGCTTGCAAAAGTGAGCAGCAATGCTGGCAGGGAGATTGTGTGAGTTACAGTTTAAAAAAGAAAGAAACTTTCTGATACTCTGACATAAACAAACTTCAATGCAGCTTGGACTCCTATGATCACCGTTTCCATCCTCTTCCAGTACAGCTATGAAGAATTCAGAAGCCTTTGCTTCTATTTTGCTTAACCAGAATCTGTTTGAAACCATTTCATTAACCACAATTCAATGTTTAGAAAATGGCAGCTGACAAGATATGACCAGGCAAAACAGAAGCAACATCTTCCAACCTTGCAACAAAGTCTGAGCAAATTCCTCCCCCCTAAACTATGGATTAGTGTAGCATCTGGACTAAGCCAATGTGAGAATTTGGATATACTGTACATTGTGATTGGGGTGGCTGTTTAGGACAGCACCGGAAACATCAAAGCTATTAAGCGAGTCATTCTTAGTTTCATCTATCGTAGAGAGTTAATTCAGTTGTAATAGTCCACTTAAACCAAGCATGGGGAACTTCAGAGAGTCTATGGGTCAATTTTTGACTCCCATGACCCACTGGGGATACAAAATGAGCCTAAAATGAGCTAAAAGGGGGGGGGGTCTAACATTCCTAAAAAATTAGATCTGATTTCATTTGTGTGGGTTTGGTGAGGGGTGGAAAGACATTGTGCCTTTCTTTATTGCAAGCCACAGTTTATGAAGGTTTCAAAGAGTGGGAAATGATTTCCGGGGGGCATTCAGGGGCCAGAAAACAACATTGGAGGGCTTCATGTGGTCTTCCAGCCATACTCGGTTCAGTTCTGGTTTAAACCCAAGAGAATGTAAGACTAGTGAAGTAATTACATTCCCAACATTAAAATGCATCATGGATGTGACATATTCATGTGTTTAAGTGTGGGTTTCCAAAACAGTTGGGAAAGCAGGCAGAGACAAGCAGAGAATCCTGACAAATATGTCACGTGAAAGTCAATGCCCACATCTATTAGGTTTCTTTATATTTCCGTTTAAACTTTGGATCATGTAAAATTCAGTTACATCACTGTTTAGAAAACGTAATACATTTCATACTGTATATTGTTCTGCCACTCAATTTCAGTTCTCCATCGTAGCTGTTATACAGTACTTCTATGGAAATGCTACATGAGCCCAATGAGAACATGAACTCTTTTCAGAGATTCTGGAAAAATTGCCAGGAGATGAGTATCTGTCAAAATTAATGCATCTCAGTTGAATCATACAGTACTTTATCAATTAGTTTATTCTAATGCCTACCCAATACTGCCTGCGTGGTCCAACATTAACACGTAAAAAATAGGAACAGGGTACTAGGGAGTCATGGACAAATTATTGTCTAGGTTGAAAGTGTAAGATGAAACTGGCACATCCAGACTAGAAATGTGTGCTACTGGAATTAACTCTTTAACCTTTGGAACAAGAAAGCTAGTCTCTAGCTTTTATGCCTGGCAGGTGTTCCCGAGCCAACCAGAGATAACAAACAAGTTCAAAAGCTTTCTATTTGTACAGTTAATGAGATGCAGATTGTTTTCACTGTTGTTCCAGGAACAGTTCCAATAGATAGTAGTTTAACATCTAAACATGCTGAATCTTCTTAGGGAGAACCTTTCACCTCTCAGAAAAGTGCACAAAGGTGAAACATAAAACAGAATTAAATTATATTAATTTATAAGCAAAATGGCAAAATCCATGATCAGGCAATATCTTTATCAGAACCAGCCAGAAATGCAGAAAGATGAGAGCACAAAATTTTGAGCTTTCCACATTTTTAATCAACCAATATGTCACACAAAGCAAAGTGGGAGGCAAAAGACAAACAGCAAAGGTGGCATGATGTTGAAGCTATGAAGTCTGCATTGTCAAAGCTATGATACAAGAGTGTTAAAATGTATGTCACATTTTGCTTGATAAAGGGAGTTGGAGATCTTGAAAGTCTAAGCTCCAGATTCTGTACATTTTCAGTTGGCGCTCACAGACCTCTTGTCTGACCACAGATTTAGAAACAATAAGGTTATTGGCTATGCTTTGATGGTGGTTAGCGTATCCAAGTTTCTCAACTGCAGGGAACACTAACTTTTGGCAATTAGAAGAATCTTGTGAAATTCACAAAGTGGCACACAACTCTGTCCACTGATGTATGTCCAATGAACAATAAACATGCCTTTGCTAATTATGCAGCTCTTATCTAACAGCGGCATGCCAGCATACCAGGAGAAAGTCTCTTAGCAGATGCAGAACTTTTTTAAATGCAGAAGGTTTCAAAGTCTCAGGAATGGGTTCTAGCCCTTGGCCTGCTAGCAACATGCATAGACAAGATGTATGGATTTGTACCACTAATTTCTCAGTGATGAGAGAGCTCTGTGCCCATCAGAGGTTTTCCCTATTAGTACTTCATGATGCCCAAAGGAACTTAAATCAGATCCTCGGGATGAGCTTTCCATGCAGGGTGGAACTTTCTAGGGATGAGGACTTGAGTTGCAGGACTCGCTGTCAAGTTCGACTTAAGTCACACCAGTGACTCAACCCAGACTCAACTCGGGTGTGTGTGTTGTTGTTGTTGTTGTTCCCTTCCAATGACTAAGACTCGACTTGCAGCTTGGAACCCATCCAATCCCTTCCTTTTTTGTCTGGGGAAAAAAGTTGTTGTTTTTTTTTAATAAGGACTCAGACTCAGACTCGGGACTTGAATCCAAAGACCTGCCAACATCCCTGGAACTTTCCACAAAAATGATTAGATGTACAAAAATAGTATACTAGACATTTATCACAGAGTTTAGCAGATATCTTGCTGAAGTGAGTAAATAGTTTGAGAAGTGTTTATGGACTGAGGGCTTAATTTTTCAGCTCAAAGTATTCTGTTTCCAATATTTTGCTTAGGAAATCACTATGCTAAAGAGTAACTGTACAGGCGATGTCACTGTCGAAATGAACGCTGCTCCAGGAGTAGACTTGACTAAGCTACTGAACGAGATGAGAGCACAGTATGAAGACCTTGCAGAACAGAATCGCAGAGAAGCTGAAGAGCAATTCAACAAAATGGTATGGTGAACAACTGCTGAAAATATAGGATTCGCTTCACTTTCAATCTGTGCTGCTATCAATTCAATATATTAGACAAGAAGGAGGAAAAGATGAGACTCTTTGTAAACAGCATTTCAAAGCATTGGGATCAGTGCATAAAGTGTTGGCTAACATAAAAAAAATTGGAATAGAGTTTCCCTATGAAATCTTAAAATGCGGAGGTCCCTCATGATGGAACAGTGTATTATATATGGCAAAAGGGCTGTCAGGGTGGCTTAACTGAGCTTATCCACTACACATTTCTGTTTTTCTAACATATGCTTAGATCATAGTCATTTAAAGCTGCTGATGCTATTCTTACGTAATAGCATGCAAAATGATTCTGTACAAAAGTCCTCTCTCACAGAAACCCACTTTATAACAACAATAAAATCAGTTTGGTCTAGTGTTGTTTTACTCTTGCTTGTTTTTTCCTCTTCTTTCCCAGAGTCAACCACTGCAGCAGCAGATCCACGACGATGCTGGTGCTGTAAATTCTGCCAGAAACGAGTTAATTGAATTAAAACGCTCCCTTCAGTCACTGGAAATTGAGTTACAATCCCATCTTGCTAAGGTTCGTTCAAAAGTAGTGTCTGCATAATGAGGTTTCTTTCTTTGAAGCACTTCAAATGAGCAAGAGCTTCAAACTCTATTTTGCTGTCTGTAATTCTAGATTTATCATTCCATTTGTGATAGCATCCTTGTATTTGACAATTCACTTGGATATCATAGGTGATCAGGAACATCATGCAGACAAGTGCGCAGATTCCTGTGCATATGAATGAGCAGGTTGGCAATAGAAGACTGGTTCTTCCCTAGCCAGCATAAAAACACAGCAGGGAAGGAATGATCTCCCTTGCATCCATTCTCCTTGTTTTAAGTCACGTGATTTTCTAAGTGGTCTTCCAGAACTATAATGTATTGCACTTTCCTTTTTTTTTCATTCTGTACCACTCTTCTTCACACTTGTCATTTTCATATCCAAAAACAATTTCCATAATTTCATTCCTGTTACTGAGAAATTTCTAGCACAACCTGGAAGACCCTCGAGTTGCCTTTTCTTGCTGGACATACTGGGAGAGGTTTACTCTGCTAGCACTGAAAAACAGCAGGCTGCTAGAGTTTAAGTAGACTAGCATGGCATTCTTGCTGGTTATTAACTTATGTGAGCTTATTTACATGACTGGGGTACAGAAATCACACAGATTGTCTTTATATTTGTTAAGGGTTGCCGAGAAGTCAAACTAACAAAGCAACAAAAATATGCTGCCTGTGGAGCAATCTTCAGGGATACACAAAGTATATACACTGGCCCAGAATTTGTGAGATAAACAGTTTAGAAAACCTTAAATGACAAGAGAAAGCACATTGGACATTTTGCTTCCATTTACATTAGAAGCCTCACTTTATTTATTTCTCTTAAAAACAGAAAGCCTCTCTGGAAGGCACACTGGCAGAAACTGAAGGAAATTACAGCAGTCAACTTCAGCAGCTGCAAATGCAGGTTAGCAGCCTGGAAGAACAGCTACAGCAGATCAGGTCTGAAACTGAGTGCCAGAACTCAGAGTATCAGCTACTACTAGGCATCAAGACTCGACTAGAAATGGAAATTGAGACATACAGGCGCCTACTGGACGGGGAGAGGTAAGTAAATTGTCTAAATTAAACAACAGAGATGGTGGCAATGCATCCTGCAGCAGACAAGCAAAAAAAAGTACATCCTATCATCATCATCATGATTTTACAACTGCAGAACTGGAAGGGAACCTATGGATCACTGAGTCCGGCCCTTGTCAAAGAGGCACCGTCGGGAATCGAACTCTCAACTGCTAGCTCCACAGCCAGAGACCTGACCCACTGAACTATGCATAATTTACTCGATATACTTACATTGCTTAATACTTCCTATATGTTTAACCCACTGACGATGGCTGAAATCCAGTAGTAACCACAATTACAATAGGACCATTAAATCAGTGGAACATATAGAGGAAATAACCTACCAAATCCCCACTGATTTAACAGACCTAGTCTAGTTCCAGTTTACGACTGGATTTCAGCCAATGAATACACAAAAAAGAGCATGTTTAAGACTCCAGTATTTATTAAACATACTCATTAGGAGTAAGCCACTTTGAATATAGTGAGACTTCCTTCTAAGTAAACTTGCCCAGAATTATGGTGTAAAAACATTTCCCCCCTCCATTCATTCATTCATTCATTCATTCATTCATTCATTCATTCATTCATTCATTCATTCATTCATGTTTCTTTGCTTGTTTATTGTTTTGTCTTGTATACCATACCACAGTGCTAGAGCACTCTCTGGGCAGTTTACAACATAATTATGTAAAGAACACTTTCATTTCTTTTCAATTTTTTCCCTTTCAAATATTGTTTGTTTTGTACAATACACTTCTGGGTATTTCATTTAGTCCTCTTATATACACATATTGGTTATTTCCACTCTTGAATTATATTTCCTGTTATTATTTATAGAGCTGTAATTGCTAAATTATTAAAACAGATCAGATAGGGTTCCTATTTGCATTGTAGCCAGAAAGATACATAAAGCAAAAGAAGCAATACCTTTTTTTTGAACACATTTATGTAGAAGCAAAATTTATGTAGAAGAAGGATTTCTGTGTGGCTCAACTCACTCTAAGTGTTCTAAATTCTACATGTCCCAAGACAAGTTATCACCTCACATTATCAATGAGGCAGAACTAAGGCAGGTAATGAGGATCCTTTCAAAATGATCACATTTCAAAGCAAAAATCTGTATTAGATGTAAAAAGGTTTTATTTCATTGTGTATATAACACCAGCAAAATCTACAAATGATCAAAGGTTGTCTACTCACAAAACAGCCATGAATTCTAATCTGCCAAATGTCATTATTCAACTGTTTTATCTCATATTAATTTATGATGGCAACAGCAAAGAATCCATGGGAATATGAAGCACACATCACACAGTGTAAAAATCTCATTTTAGTGACATATTTATTACTTTTGTACCCATTTGTTGTTTTTTGTTTTGTTTTGTCTTTCAAAGAATTCCCATCAGCATTATAAGATATTGTTGTATTTTTGCTTGTTAACAGCTTACACTCTTACGATACAAAAGTCCATATCAGAGGTAAGTATAATTTTATTCTTTTTTTAAAAAAATGCTGATTACCATCATGCTTTTAGAAGGCATCACACAAATCTGAAAAAAAAATTACTTCAGGGCCATCCCAGGACATTTTGCTGTCTGAGGCAAAAGGCAAGAGGGCACTATTTGTGCAGAAAATAACAGCATTTGTAATGTTATAGAATAGAACTGAGTTGGAAAAAGAAGTAAGAAGGATATGTTTGGTATAAAGAGCTTTATTAGATTTATTAGACTTCTTTAGCAGACCTTGAGGAAATTGTTTTGAACAATACCTCCCAGAATCCCTCAGCCAGAAGGGTTTCAGATTCATAAGCCCACATTCTTAAAAATAGAGCCAGCTTAGTAGAGAAAGAATAACCTCTGTATTATACGTAGAGGTTGAAAAGCTTTTTCAGTGCAAACCCGTCCCCCCAAAAAACTTATTAAACACCATCAACCAAAAGTGTAAACATGTATAGTCACTGACTGTTGTGAGGTAACTTTTTGGTGATTTGCACGAAGTGGCCAGTAGAGAGTGACTACTATAATTTGTTGGCACACAGAAGCCAAGTGAATTTTGATAAATCTGAGTATCAAAACTTGCCAAGGTTAGATTGGCCCACCATCCTTATGCATGTTTAGCTCTAGCTCAGTTGATTTTACAAGCTGCACAACTTTTGCAACTTTCTTATGCAGTGGTTTGCACCACCTGAAACTGCTGAATTTTCCTTTTGCACATAGTTCAGCACTAAGAGTCTTCAAGTGCAATGTTCTTTATGCAAGCAGAATTACAGTACTGTACTGTATTAGTACTAGCCTTAGTATCAACATTATTAATGGACAGCCTTGTCATTATCCATTTTTCTTTCTCAGAGCCCACCAAAACCAGGGTGGTTAAGACCATTGTGGAAGAAGTGGTAGATGGCAAAGTAGTTTCTTCTCAAGTGAAATCAGTTGAAGAAAGAGCAACAAAATGAGCAGCATGAAAAATGGAAGAGGGGACCTATCTGTGCATGCATCAAGGGGGAATCCAAGTAGATTAAGACTTCCAGGAACCAGAATCTATTGCATCTTGGTGGCTTCTTGCAGATATGGGTTCTAGCAGGGGGGGAACCCCCACACAGTATGCTTTCTTCTAACTTCACAGAGCTATACTCTTGTACTGGTACTGAGAACTATATATTGCTTTCTCCTGCAATCCAATAAAACTTTCAGTGTTGCAAGTTATATCTGCCTTTGACTCTTATATTTTCAATTAGAATTTGGTGAGACAACTCCTCTGATCCAGTGGGCCTACTCTATTTACAACACTACACTAAGCAACAGGATTTCAGTCAATAGATTCTTATAATTCACATCCTGCCTATTAAAATAAAATAATTGATGCATTTAGAATCCAATAGCCAGATATGCTTCAGCATTCCTTATTATGATCATGGGACAAAGCGGTATTCATCAAGCCTTCTGTTATTTATCAGAATACACTGAACCACAGAGCAACTACAGTATCTTTGACAAAGAGCATACACAGTACATAAGCCTAGGGTACTTTGAGCCTCTGAGACCCAAACTACTTCCCCTGACTTCTCGTATTCATCGTGCAAGGCCAGCTAGTTTTCTAGGCTTGTCTTTTAAAGAGACACTATAAAACTGCTGGTTAAATTTGCTTTCTCCATTCAACTTGCATGTTTTAATTCACATGTCACAAGCACCAACTGGCTAGTTTCTATTACAAGAAATAAATTTCCACCATCACTATGTCTTCATGACTTGTAACATACAAGAAAACGGTTTTAATTTGTGATGTGTACTTCAGAAACACAGCCATACAGGCTTTTAAAATGTAGTAAGTGTGGTTTATGAACAGGTCCCTACTGTACAGATATCTTAGGACAGTTGCACAACAGGGGCTAACACTGAAGACAACAATTACTTTTGTAAAAGAACACACAGATTGATCTCAGTATTGGACTGACACTGCTTTTATACAGTACTTCACAATTTCTCCGCACTATTAGAGTGGATCAAAGTGGGGGACTCTGACAATAGGCAGATGATGACCAAAACACTGTTCCCATAACCAGAACATTATTCATCGTCTATGTTTAGATCAGGGGTTTTAAACTCAATTTACCTGGGGGTCGCTAGAGACAGAGTCTGGGTGAGGTTGGGCCGCATCAGATTTTCCGCCAAGCGGAGCAAGAGCCCAAGGAAGCCGCCTAGGAGTTTCCTTAGCCGACAGACAGGTGGGCTGGCTGGCAGGCTGCAGTTCTGGATGGAGGGGGCAAGAGGTGCTGTCTTGGGAGAGAGGCGGCAAGCGAGGCAAGGCTTTTTTTTAACTCTTTACAGCAGAGAATGTGTGGGCGCTTTGGGGAGGCAGGCAAGGCGAGGGCCACACACTATCATCTGGGGGGGCTGCAAATGGCCCCCGGGCCACATATTTGAGACCCCTGGTTTAGATAGTCGTATAAATCAGGATCCCAATGAAATGATGGACTCTTTTGCTAATAGGTAACAATGAATAAGGAACTTTGCAGGGAAACCATCTTTTCAACAACTATATGATATACAGCACAATATTATTGGTCTTGATAAAGCTAAATTTAATTGTGGCTAAGTCTCGTTGAAGACAATGTGACAGGAGTTGATAATGATTGGTTTCTTTAGGACCCGTTTCTCTGCCTGCATAACCCAGTGAGTTAGGTTTCTGGCAACACAACCAGATGTTGGAAGTTCAGTTCCCCATAGTGCCTCTCTGAGAAAAGCCAGGGTTGCCATAAGTCAGAATCATCTTGGATTATACAGTACATTGTTGTTATTGCTGCTGCTAACTGTTCCCAACTTTTGTTGGCCACCCTAGCATCAGTGGAGCTAAATCAACCCAATAGTCATCTCTGTTCCATGCAGCAAGAAACACAAAGTGAATCATTCCATACTGGAGGGGGGCATAAATAAAGGCATTTGTATTCTAAATTTCTCCAAGGTGCCAAATCCAGCTGTTTTAGACTAAAATGTCTGATATTGTAAACTTTGTTCAAGGAATAAGAAAAGTTCCCATTTTTTGCAGTAATACTAACAATTATGTGCTGTGAAGTGAAATCTGACTGATGGTGACCCTTTCCAGGGTTTTCTAAGTAAAGAGTAGTCAGAAGTGGTCTGTCATTCCCTTCTTCTGTATGTGCCTGGGGACAGTACAGATTGCCCAAGGCCACACAGGCTGGCTCTTCTGGGATGTACAATAGGGAATTGAACTCCCAGCCTCTAAATCACTGAGCTATGTGGCAGTACAGGTCAATTTAAAAGCCAGGACAGAGTACATATGCTTGTCTACCAGACTTTCTAATACTTTGAGCTGGGTACAGGCTTAAGCAACTTCAATTACCAGAAAAAGATGGAATAATTCTCTTTACCTAATGTTATTTCCGCATGTTCTGTGCCATCAAGTCGGAACTGACTTACAACTATCCAAATAGGGCTTTCAAGGAAAGTGAGATATTTAAGGAGTGATTTTACCAGTTCCACTGCCCCGGTGAGTTTCCATAGCCAAGTGGGGATTCGAACCCTGTTTTTCAGAGTCCTAGTCCATCGCTCTGTCCACTACACCACCCTGGGAATCTAATCATGTGCCATCAAATCGATTAGGAAAGCTTTAATAATTCTTTTCAAATCAATAGTTCATTCATATCTTCTTTCCCTTTTTTCCTGTTTTTATTTTGCTCGTTTCTTATTTATAAGTTCTAGCTATGGAGCAATAATTATTATGACATGTATTGTTAATTCTGGGGAGGATACAACTGTTATTATTATTCATTTAGACAAATGTTGGATCCACTTTCCCTAAGGACAGCACGAAGATATATAAAGCATAAAAGTAAATGCCTCCACCTCCAGCATCAGTAGCTTTTTGAACTCAGATTCAAAGGACTTGAGCATCTGAATCTTATTTGATAGCATCTTGTTTGAACATGCATATCAGTGTCAAACATAGTTTTCAGTGGCATTTGCTTGGCAAAAGCTTTGAGAAATCTTTGCCTAGATGATGTTGTTTCCAATCTTTAAGACTTTGAACTGTCAAGTTGACTGATTATTATCATCTGGGCCAGCAGAGTTCACACAGAAGACATCTATTGCTAGCACCCCATTGTGTCACCAAGGTTTGCAATCATATCCCAGGCTGAAAAGTCATATTCAGTTATACATGCCTCAGCGTGAATTAACAGTGCATTGTGTCATCTTCTAGGATATGGTGTAGGAGTACAGATATAGTGAATTAAGGAGTTTCCAAAGAGTAGAGCTTGGGAAAGCTTCTGGTAGTAAAGCTCACAGGTGTAAATTAGGGGGTTGTGAATAACATCTAATCCAATTCCTGTCTAAGTATTAGACACATAAATCAAGATCAATTTATCCAAGCTGATCTTGCAATGGTATGAATCCATTTCTTCTGAAAGTATTTGTACGATTCTGGACTGGAAGAAAAAATGGTAGTGGGGGAAATAAAGGGCTATGATCATAGATAGGAGTGCTATACAACACCATCAAACTAGAGAATATGGTGGTCTTTCTGCTTATAGGCAAAGCTCCTACCAGCTTATTTTCTTCTATGTCCCCCTCCACCAGGGAGACATGCTCAGGGAAAATGCACGTTTGGAGTGTGTAAGACGTCCCCTTAGTGTCTGCAGTCAGTAGCCTGGCTTGCCCAAGTGTGCCCATTCACTGTATGATGAAAATCAGAGCACTATATGTTTGGTATAGGCCTTCTAAGTATGCATCAGATACATAAGCACACCAGTAAGAAAAAAAAAGATTTCCTTTGTATCTGTAGCACAGGAGAGGCTGTGCCCTATCAAAGCACTTTGGGATAGAATTTTCTTCTGTTATAGTGACTATAGGCTCATCCAAAGGCGGCTTGTGTTGATGTGAGGACGAACCGTTTTTCCTTTTCCCCATAGATCTAAAATCACTCACTCCAAGCTTCTATACTTGTATGCAACAGTTTAACAAACATGTGAAGATGATGACAATCAATCAATCAATCAATCAACCAACCAACCAACCAACCAACCAATCAATCAATCAATCAATCAATCAATCAATCAATCAATCAATCAATCAATCAATCAATGTATTTTCTTGGTAGCAAAGCATAACACAAACACCAGCAGGACTTACTTCTGAATAGAAGCACTCAACTCCTCCAACCCTAAAACATTTTGGCAGGCAGCACCTACTACACCAAGTAAAACCAGTGCTGAGAAGCAGCGATTTTGGGGAGGAAAAATCCCACCTTTTTGCCTTGATTTGAAAACCTAACTGGGACCCAGATGAAATTAATAATTATGAGTCAATTTAACAAAAAGGGAGAATAACATATTGAATTGGAAACCTCCCACCTTTTTTCTTTTCCCTCTCAGAAATGTTATGCCCTCCCCTTCTCTTGGGGAAGGGGGCATGAAATAAATTTATAAGACAAAAATGTTTTTGGAGGGTTTTGGAAAAATAACAAGAATGTGCAGATTCATATGACAAACAATGGAAATATACACTCTCATATATGCTTTAAGAAAGAACAAATGAATAATCTGAAATCAAATTATTTATATAGCTTATATTTTCATAATAACTAACCTGGAGATGCAAGAAAACAATGATAGTACAATCAAAAATACACCCCATCTGAATGAATTTAATGATCTTTATTATTATGTCTAAAAAATCTAATAAACATTTTTAAAAAACAACAACACTTCAGGTAACTAAGAAGGTATTTATATGTGGAAATAGTAAAACAATTGTTCCATTTATCACCCTTAGCAAATTCCTGACTCCAAACTATTTAGTCCATATATGTCTTTTGTATTAGGCTCTGATTAAAAAAAACAACGAAGGTGCCACACCCAAAAAATAGTTGACTTGAACAACTTCTAGCAAATATGATAGAACTGGCCCTACTAAAATATGCTGGTACTGTATCTTTTCACCTTTAGCCTTGCCCTTGCCCATCACTGGAAGGTCACTGTACAGTGGTGCCTCACGATTGCTTCGCAGGACAATTAATCCGCAAGACTATTGGTTTTTGCGATCGCTGTTGCGCTTCGCAAGACGGTTTTCCTATGGATGATTTTCGCAAGATGATGTTTGGGTCCATGACTCGCAAGATAATTTTTTTAGAGACGCTTTTTCACAAGACGATGTTTCTGACAGTTGGGTCCATGACTCGCAAGATGATTTTTAAACAGATGCTTTTTCACAAGACAAATGTTTTTCTATGATATTTATAACGTTTTTTTTATTTGACTTTGTTCTGACTCTCTTTTTTTGCCCATAGATCTCAATGCATTTCTATGGGAAACAGCATTTCGCAAGACTTTTTTTCCACAAGACAACGATTTTTCCCCCATTGGAAAGCATTAATTAGATTTCAATGTATTCCTATGGGGAACCGCATTTTGCAAGACAATGTTTTCACAAGAAGACATTTTTCGCGGAATGAATTAACATTGTCTTGCGAGGCACCACTTTATTCCCCGCCCCCCCAAAGGTCTCTGAAACTGAATACAGTGCTCAAGCTGAAAGAAATTCTGACCTTGAGTGAATCCAAATCAGAGTAAGGGAGAAGTGCAGTTCTGTGGATTCTCCACATCAGCCAGATGTGACTACAATCTGAAGAAACATCTTATGCTCAGCAGATAAAAACATTATTTGAGTTTATGTTGGCACAACTATTTCTAATCTGGTGGAAAAAAGAACAAGTGATAACTTGTGCTAGAGGCTGCTATCTCTTTGTGCTGTTACCCCCATCCCTACAGTCAAAATGAAAGTTTCAAAGTTGTAGTTGCAGAAGAGGTAACCATGTTAGTATGTGCAAGCATTATAGGTAAATAAAATAAAATAAAAATACGACTTAAGAAAAAACTTGATGGCACCTTAAAGACATATTTTTTTATATTTCTGTAACAGTCTTTAAGGCGACATAGTATTTTTATTTATTATTTTATTTTTAATTTTGTTTTTGCCTATGTAGTTTCAAAGCAGGTGGGGGAGGGCCAATCTCAGAGTACTGTAATTGGCAACCTTTTGGTCCTAGGAGAGGAGTGCTGAAATTCCAAACCTTGCTGCAAAGAGGCTTGAGACCGCAGCCTCAGAGGACTTACATCAGCTGTCACAGATCTGTGCCACAAATTTTTGGGCTCCTGTGTACAATTTTTCTGAATGATTCATAAAGGAGTTGTGCTAAGCTGAAAGTTGATTGATGAAAGCTTGAAAGTTGATTGATTTTTAGTAATTCAATAAAAGGTATCACCCACTATTACATCTGGGTAATCTTGGAGGCCACATGGCCTTTTCCTTGTTGTTGTCTCTAAAGAGACAGCCTTTCATATCCAAGTCCAGTTTAGAAAACAGAGAAGAAAAAGAGACCTTAAAAATTTGCCATTAGCACCTTGGCAACGGTCTGAGCAAGCATTCAGGTCCCCTGTTTAATACCCACTCTACTATGATGTGGTATATCTATTTCAGTCATAGCCATTGGACAGACTTCTACTGGTGTTCATGTAAGTTTGGTATAACTTGCTGCCTGCCAATTGCAGCCAACAGTCAAGGTACCAGGATGCATCTCCATTGCAGAAGCGGAGATATGGCCATGTATGTGATTGAGACACGTATTATCTCGTTAATGAACTGCAATTAGCCTGGCAAATTACACAAAACTTACACAAATGCCAACTGGATTTTAGCCATACGTATTTCTAAATTTGCATATACAGTACTGTATACATATAAACTATCTAATACATCTTTTGCACAAACTGGTGTCCTCATTTTGTTCTTGTGGATGGGGAATACATGTACTTTATCTCTACAGTATTTACAACTGATTCCCTGACACCATCACTTGCTAGACCCTAAACATTTGCATTACCAGTGGATTATGACTTTGTCAGTTTCTTAAGAGCAGAGCACAAAGAAAGTAACTTGCTCTTCTGCAAATTGTTTGATTACTCCTATGAAGCAACAAAACAAGCTTAAAGGAAACCACATATTCTTCTCCCATTCACCCTTGCTTGATCTGCCAGAAGGAAACTGTGTAAAACCTCTCTCTTACTTTTGTTTTTGTTTGCTTTTAAGCACAGTGCCCCCACCCATTTCATCAATCTGAATTAGTGATATTCTAATTGCATGATGTATGGTGATGATGAATGTCATTTAGGTCATTCATCACAAACACAATCTCTGTTTTTACTCTATCTGAAATCTAACAGCATCATAATGCTTGATGAATCCTGTGTCAGAGAACGAGGCCCCTTTCTCCTCATTGCATCTTAGGGCAACACATAGACTGTGTGCCCTTAAGGACAGATCTTCCCCCCACACACACACACATTTTCTACAACCACCTGCTTTTTTTAACATGTCAGATGAAGAGATCTTGGAAGCTTTCATAAATTTTTGCACTCTTTTTTGGGGGGTGGGTTCATTCTAGTAAAGGTATTACAAGAGTACGATTTGGGAAGTTTAATTCTTTGAGCCGGCACAGCTACTTCTGCTTTTCATATAATACATCACTCTTATGTATTGGGCACAGAGATTAATCTCTGAGAAAGAGGGAGGGAGGGAGGGAAGGAAAGGCAAATAAGCATACAAAAGCATGCATGTCTTTGGGACTGTGAATACACAGTTTAAGAAACTATGGCGGAGAGCCATGTGACCTGTGGAGGGATCAAGACAACAGTAGTTTACAAAGCAACACTGAGATTAGTTCTTACCATGACAAGAAATGTGACACTGAATACATCTTCCGATGCCCTAAAATTGCTACAGACAGTAGGAATCAGGGCAAGCTCTCAGAGCTTGAAAACCTTAGAGCCATGATGAATGACGATGCTTCACCGTTGCTGATTCAAGAATAAGATCTTGCCACTTTAAAAAAAAATCTACGTTTCCCTCCTTGCTCACCCTCCTCTCTTTTCCTCTGGCTCACTTTCACTGCAGGCTGGGAACGCTCTGCAGCAGCCTTCTCCTGCTATCCATAAGGTTCTGTTAGCCAAGGTGGAGGATGGGAGCAGCATGGAACTGTCCCAGCTCCTCAATGAGATCAGGGCAAACTATGAAACGCTCATCACCCGAAGTCAGATAGAGACGATCCTCTCAGCAGGGACCCAGGTAATGATTCTATACAGACAGGCGCCTACCCGAATAAGGAGACAATCCAATGTGTACTCAGTTCCTCCCTCAGCCTCTGTGAGGTACAGTATTTTGTTTTTCAATGCAGCATTTTAATGGGGAAGGGAATCCAAATTCCTCCCTCTCTCTCTCTCTCTCTCTCTCTCTCTCTCTCTCTCTCTCCTCCTTTTCTTACTGCAGCATGTATAGAGGAAGAATATGCTCAAATGTTATGAAAACAATGCGAAGGTCAAATTGTCACCTTGCATTCAAATATGTGTCTAAAAATAATGACAAATAATATTGCTATTTATTTATTAGCCCAAACTCCCTTTGTATATGCAATATGGCTCAAAGCTTCACTTTGAGCAAAAGAGAATACAAATTATATGAAATTTATCAGTGGGGTACAGAAATCAGGTTCAAGGAGGGGTAGCCTCTAGGCATTTATTAGATTGTGGATGCCTATGTTTATACACTCATGGGAATATTTACAAGTTCCCCCAGAAAACAAAAATGGGTGTTGTAGTGTTGATGTTTTGCTTGTCCATGTGGAGTCACGTATTTCTTAAAGGTTACCTGGTCACGATGACAGTATTAAAAATTCACATGTCAATAAAATACCTCTGAAACTCATAACTGAAGTACAAACTGGATGATCATATACCATGAAATCTAAGGTGGGTGGAAGTTCAGTTTACCACCCCACTGTGCTTTGAAATGGTTATTTCTGAATGGATGATCCTTTTTATAACCTTCTAAAGCTGGCTTTCCTCTTAAATGGGCTGATACAATTTGTTTGATAGCCAGCTCATCTCAAGAGCTTGGGACAGGTTACAACATTTCTTTACATCATTTTATTCTAACAACAGTGTGATAGGTTAGGCCCAGAACTGAGCATCCATTGCATTTCTCATTTGGGTCTCCCATTCCCCAGTTGAATATACCATACATCCAAATTCCTCTGGGCCGCACATAGAAGCAAGTCATAGACCGCAACACATTTCGGCTTTAAACTAAGAAGTTTTGGCTCTAAACGAAGACATTTACATATTTTCCTGTGCCATGGAAGTACAGCGCTGGAAATACCAATGACTTCAGGGTCACTGGGGAAGTGAGGGGAGCTGTTTATATTCTTATTGATCAGATCTTTTCTCAAGTGCTTTCTGACTTCCATCATTACCTGGCAAGTGTCGGTAACCAAGAGTAAATTCAGCTGTCTTGTAGCAACTGTACTCACTATTGGGCCACTTTGACTCCCATCCCGAGATAAACATGCTTTGGATTTTATTGTCTTTTACCCCAGACATCAAACAAAGGATAGGTAAGACTTTTAGCTTTTTGTTTTGATTTGTTTTGTTTAAGTTGCTCTTTGGTACAAGTTAACCAAAAATCACACATTTCTTCATATTTGGGACAGGAGGAATTTCAACGTTTTAAAATGTGAGAGAAAACGAAGCAGACAGATCCATCATTCCAGATCCAAGGCTTTGGGAGTTTAATTCTTAAAAGTCTGGTTTTGATTCTCAGTTTGGTCAGTCGCATCAGTGCAACATTAGAATTCCTCAAAGGGTCCTTTAATATCTGTATGGTAGGCAGATAAGTCCTCCCCTTGTGAAGTACAGCTCCCAGAAAAGATTATTTAACTGTTTGTTTGTTATATTTTTATATACTGTATATGTTATATATACCCATCTTTCTCCTTAAAATGGATTCAAGGCAGGTTATTAAAAGACAATATTTTTAAATATTGACTCATTAAAAGACAATATTTTTAAAAACTAAAAACAGTAAGTATACAAAAATTAAAAAGAATCAAACAAATACCATACTAAAAATCATTACCCAAATCAGATTCAAAGCAACAAGGCGGAACACTCCATTTAAAAACCCCTCCCAGACAGTCAATCCCTAAGACAAAGTCTGTTAGAAGATAAAGATCTTCATCTACTTACAGAAGGGCAGCAAAGATGGGGCCAACCTGGCCTCCTGTGGGACGGAGTTCCAGAGTCTTAGCCAGTACATGTAGATTGGACTTGGCAAGTACACATAGTTGATAAATTTATTCTGTTTCTTTCTGAAAATAACTTGCCAGAGTCTATAAATTTGCTCATATTTGGGATGGCAATAACTTGAGGTTCAGATGTGGAAAACAGTGAAGCTGACAAACTATACTATTTCTACTCAGGTCCAACACATCTTGGAGACTTTGTTTCTAATGCACTCCTACTCTGAGGTAATATCATACTGCAAGAAGCCACATCATCTGTGGCAAGGGCCAAGGCATTTAGATTTTTAGCATCTCCAAGTCACTGAATAGCTTTGCAGAAAGGTTCTATTTTAGTCCACTTCTCTGGGCCTTTAGATAAAAATTAAAACCTCTGTTTTGCAAGATTCTTGATACAGAGATTGGTTGCTCTATGGTTTTTATTTTGACCTTCTCTGATACAATGGCTTAGCTTAATAATAGGCAACTTTTAGAGAATTATTGTGCTGCTGTTTATGGCTCTGTAAGTATTTCATTCCAAGCTCTGTTGCTGCATTCTAAGTAATAAAAATATCCATGTGAAGGTCAAGACTTTTACTATTTAGTCCCCAGGTCATTTAGTTTGAGGAGTAACTATTATTGCAGAGGAATACAGTATTCTGTTCTGTGGGTCCAGTATTTTTAGGCTTTCCTCCAGTAAAGCATAGCTTTTACTTGGTTGTTGTAGGTTTTTTAGGCTGTTTGGCCGTGTTCTGAAAGTTTTTCTTTCTAACGTTTCACCAGTCTCTGTGGCTGGCATCTTCAGAGGACAGGAGTAAGAACTCTGTCTGTGTTCTGGTGTAATGTGTGGGATAGCTGAGTATTTGTAGCTGTGGAATCAGCTTTTTGTCCTTTTCAGGAGATTGGGTGATTATGGTGATCAGGGTGTGCTTTTTGGTTGTTGTTTGTTTGTTGTTGTTGTTAGAGATAACAACAACCATCAGATCCCAGCCACGAAAGCCTTTGAGAATATACAGCTTTTACCACTGGCTAAGTTTACAGTTTCACATGGCTCATGTATACATTTGGCATATAGGTTGCTCCAACATTCATGTACATACTGTACATGTGTAGTTGGCTTCAGTAGATTCTGTTAGCATTTGGATCTCTGAGAAGGCATGGGAAGGCTGTGTTGTCTGGTTCTCCAATTTACCAGTTACTTACAGTGTTCTTGTGGTTCCTCTTGCTGCTTAGATTCTTGGTTCTCAGAATGTTCTCTAACCAAGGGGCTGGCCCTACCATTAAATAGAGTGGTGTAGCCCCCTCTGACAGCAGATACTGAGAGACAGGGAACAAGGTCCTATGTGCCCTCTAAGCTATTATGCAGCCCTGGGATGTAGTGGAAGACATTATCTTTCCTATGTTGAAATAACATTCAAAGGTAATTTGTGATTTGGCAATTGCACACTTATGACTTATCTAGGAGACACAATACTTCTGGGTACTGGGGGGCAAATCCCTTAGAAGCAATATTCTAATTAACATTGCCATCAGCATCTCTACACAATCTGTGTGGCCCAGGTAACTAACAATTGTTCCCTACTACCCAGCTGTGGAAAGTTCAGCTCCCAGCATGATAGAATGAATCAATATTTTATATGCATTTTCAAAACAAGCTTCATCAGACTGAATGAAAGAATATATTAACAGATAAGCTTTATAAGGCTCAGAACAGAAGCAAGCAACCCATAGGCCAGCAATGGCAAACCCGTGCCACAGCTGATACGCAGAGCCCTTCCTGTGGGCATGCAAGACATATGTCACTGGATCGCTACTCCCCCTCTTCCGCAGCCAAACTTGTGGAGTCGACAGCAGCCATGGTGCTGGCTCTTCAACAGGCAGCGGGTCAGGATCCAGAGCCGCTGGCACTGGCAGTGGCTCTGGAGTGGGGTCTCGAGGCAACTCCGTGCCCAGGATTCCCCCTTCCACCACCATTTCCAGTTCCGCTACTTCTGGTTCCATCACTGCACCTTCCACCACCACTTCCAGTTCTGCCACTTCTGGTTCCATCGCTGTGGCCCACCACCTGCTGTTCACTGTCATTGCTATAGTCCATGAGCCATGTATTGTAAGTGTACTTCTGGTTGGCTTCACCCGGTTCTTTCCTGTTTTGGCTGGAAGTAGCTCTCTTCCAAGAGAGAAGAGCGCTCATAGAGTATGGATCCCTCTTTCAAATGGCAGGGGTGAAGAACCCGAAGCAAAGCAAGGAGGCATTATAGGCGGAGAGAAGATATATTTCTGTCCCTCCCACTCACCCATGCTGCCATTACGAGAAAGCTTAAAGCAGCACGAGGAAGACTGATCTTCCTCTCAACCACAAGTGTGAAGTGAAAGGCTAAAATGTCTGCACAGATATTTTGGGGGAAACAATTAATACTGGTCCTGTATGGCAAATGGGGCACTGCTGCATCTCAGGCTATCCTCAGATAGCCCGGGCCTGTCTGCTTCCTTAAATATGGAGGTTAATGGCTCCACTTCTCTTCCCTCCAACAGAGAGGAAACTTCCAGTCTCACCACATGCATGAGAATCAGATCAAATGAGAGCTGGGAGAAAGTGGGGAATAAGGAACTTAGATGAGTTCAGGAGTCAAGCATGGGATGGGAATATGTCTGAGGTGAGAAGCAGATGCTAGGAATGGCAGGGGAGAAAGAAATTCTGTACTAATGTGAGCCTCTGAAGGTCAAAGCATCAGCTTCCCTTTCCTTTAGGATTACACAAAATAGCATGTTTTTTTTCTGATGCTTGACCTTCAGGATTTAAGAATGGGATTTCTCGGAAGGCAGATTTCACAAATATGAAACAACAACAAAACCCAACCCTTACCACTATCAACTCCGTGCCCCATTAACTATGTGGAAAGATGGATGTTCAGCTCTAATGATAGGCTTTCTCTAACAACGGTTCCTGGGCATTCAGTGAATGCCTGCCTGCCACTGTATATATATGGGTGTGCCTGTCCTTGCCCTTCACTGT